ACCTCGCTTTTCAGAACGATGAGCTTTGTAAAAATCGACGCGTTTCAGAAAGGCGGGGCATAGAGGAGCAACAATAATGTACATTATGTGGAAAATAATGTGTTTTTTTAACCTTAAACCGCATAAACACATTGCATTACACCAAATACACAACATAATGTTATTTTTAGCAATGTCATATGACCCCTTTAAATAGCATTTTAAGTTAAAGGCATAGTTCACCCAAAAATTTAAATTACCCCATGATTGACTCACTTTCAAGCCATCTTAGGTGTATGTCACTTTCTTCTTTCAAATGAATACAATCAGAGTTGCATTAAAACATGTCCTGGCTCTTCCAGGCTTTATAATGGCAGTGAATGGTGGTCGAGATTTTGAAGCCCAATAAAGTGCATCCATCCATCACAAAAAGTGCTCCACATGGCTCTGGGGGTTAATAAAGGCCTTCTGAAGTGAATCGATGTGTTTGTGTAAGAAAAATATCCATATTTAAAACTATAAACCTTAATCTCTAGCTTCCGCTAGATGTTGATGTGTGTTGTCAATACTGCCGAAGAACTAATTGAAACCATGAAAAGTTTTCACGTGAGTCAGGGCTTTTGGCACTGCCGTTAGATAGACGCATCTAGATACGCACTCAGCTCTGCTGTATCTGTTAAGTGAACGCACATCTCATTGTTTGTCTGCGGTTATTGTAACACTGGGGCAGGCAGAACACCTCCCAGACTTTCAGCACATGATGTTAGCACAATTGTCAATCTGTCTTAGAGGCAGCAACAGCCTCACAAACACCTCTCAACCTTCCTGCCTCCATACATGTGAATCTCACACTCTATAAAAAAACAGCTGTTGCTTGCAGTATAGGCGAACAATCACTTCATTTAAATGTTGGGTGCTTTGTGTACTATAAGGCCACTACTTTATAGAATATCTTGGGCACCTATTTTAGTGTGAAATATTTTAAGCATTGTTAAAATTAAGTTAAGATGAGGGATTGTTGTGCTGAGTATGCAGTAGGTAATAGCTTAACTGTAAGATGGTTACATCAACAAAAATCAACATGAAGCATCTGCAACCCATTTTACTACAGTAATGTGATTTTTCTGTAAAAAAAGGAAAAACCTGTTCACACCAAGATAAGTACAGGTGCATCTCAATAAATTAGAATGTTGTGGAAAATTTCATTTATTTCAGTAATTCAACTCAAATTGTGAAACTTGTGCATTAAATACATTCAATGCGCACAGACTGAAGTAGTTTAAGTCTTTGGTTCTTTTAATTGTGATGATTTTGGCTCACATTTAACAAAAATCTCAACAAATTAGAATTCTTCATAAGACCAATAAATAAAAACATTTTAAGTGAATTGTTGGCCTTCTGGAAAGTATGTTCATTTAC